AGGGAGGTACTTCCATGCAAAACCTAATGTTTACTCAGCAGGGTGGGTAAGAACTTGTGCACACCAAAGCTTTGCAACTCCACCTGACCGTCTCAAGAGCATAGGTTCTGTACCACATGTTCCATGGGGACGGGAACTGTTTGTCCTATTCACCAGTGATCCTGAGCCCCATCAGACACACAGTGGGCACTCAGTGAGGTTTGTTGGAAGAGGGAGTAGATGAATGCAGTGCTTGGAATGGTGGTGGCACAGAGAACGAGGCAGGGACACACAGGGAGTGTGCAGGAGGAGAGCCTGACCCAGCCTGGGACCCGCATTTGAATCTAGGACACCTAAGAACGATCCAGCCATCGGAGGTGGCTCTCGTCTGAGGGTTGTGAAGAGGAGGACAGGCCATCATGGGATGGAAGGGTTTCCCCAAATGATAACTGGGTGTTTTTTTTTTATTAGCATAAAACATACATGCATTTTACATTTATCAGAGGAGTTTGCTCGTTAGCCACTGCTTCTTTTTTGACTGAGGACACAAGTAAAGTGAATGGGCTTAAACGTCAGGAGCAGATTAGAAAGGACTTTAAATGTTTATAACTCTGCAAGTCCTCAAATAAGCACCAGGGAGTCTTATTTGTGAGCCTGACAAGCTCAGGAAGCGGGGTAGGGTGGTACATGGCAGGCCTAACAAGCTCAGGGACCAAAAGTAACCACCCACACAGGATGTTCTGATCATAAATCCCTAACTGGGCAGGTCACGGCGGGTAGCCACCTCCCAGGCCTACAGCTTCCTTAGCAAAGGTCAGTCTTGCCCTTCAGTGAGCCCTGGACATATTTCTTAGGCATCGAGGATAACATACCTGTGAAATGACAGAGTGGTTTTCTCCTCTGGACCCCTCAGGGCACAGGAGCAGGCACCAGAGCACAGAGCCCCTCGCTGTTATCTTGTTCCCCGCATTCCATCTCTACGAGCAGTGAATGTTAATTATTAACTAGGAATGCGCTTCTCCATTTCACTTTTTATCCAATTCTAGAGACTTCCCTGCTTTGCTTTCTCCTGCCTCCTTAATCTGCCACCGATGGGTTCCATGTAATCCTTTCTAAGCCTCCTCGTCCAGTTTTAAAGTGTAAAATCAGCTGCAAAACTGCCATTCTCTGGGCCATCTTCTCAGCCTGTTGCTTCCGGGCATGTCCTCAAAATTATGGCTCTGAGAGCCCCTGTGAAAGTTTTTCAGTGGGTTTGGACATTCTTTTGCTGACATTTGAAATAAGCCAAATGCCCAGGAATCCGGTGTCAGAGCCGGGGAACGTGCCACAGGACGCCTCACATTCCCCCGCTCCCCCCAGACCTTGGTTCCAGGGCCCTTTACCCTCTGTGCAAAGTGAAGTGGGAAAAACTAAGATCTGTTTCTGCCCACAGAACCCTTCTGGCACCAAAAAGGTGCATCTGAGGGGGCAGGTTGGGGTCTCACACACTAACAACCAATTCTCCAAGTCTCCAGTAGCCGGGTGTCCTACAACGGAATTGAATTCTAACATTCACTACCTAGAGTTAGTGCCAACCCCACGGGTTAAGCGCTCAGTCCCACAAAACTGCCCTCCCCACCCCCCACCCCCCAACTTCAGACATCAACCCGTGAATCTGGGGTCTCCCATATTGCTGACTGACTGCCATTAAATTGCGGGTTCTCCCCACCCCCTCCTCAGGCTCCATAGTTTGCCAGCATGGCTCCCAGAACAATGGCCGGCTTATTAGAGAGGGTGCACAGGAAGAGGTGCCCAGGGAGAGGTCTGGAAGGATCCGGAGCACAGGAGCTCCTGTCCCTGTGAAGCCAGGGTGAGTCATCCTCCTGGCACATGGATGCATTCACCAGCCTGGAGCTCTCCCAGCCCTGTGGTTTCTGGGTTTCCATGGAAGTTCCATTACACGGGCATGAAATCACGGCCATTGGGAGCGAACTCAGCCTCCGGCTCTCCCTACTTCCTCTTCCCTCCTCCCCGGAGATGAGGGAATGGGGCTGATCGGTCCAACTCTCTCATCCCGTGGTTGGTTCCTCTGACAACCAGCCCCCCACCATCCTGAAGCCATGGAGGGGCCCACCAGGCCACCTCGTTACCATAAACGCCACTATGGTGAAGAAGCTTGTCATGAATAACAAAAGTTGTGCGTATCAGCCTTATCCCTCAGGAAGTCCCAAGGGTCGCAGGGGCCCTAATGCCAGGAACCGGGGGCAAAGACACTTCTATGCTTCTGATATCCCAATATCGCAGGGAGGGTTTCTGGTGTAATAGTTAAGTATGTCTTTCTGTAGAACTTGACTTTGTACAGACTACGGAGAATGGGGAAAGCCCTGCAGGCTGCTCTCTTCTGAGGACACAATGTCCTGAGCCTTCCTGAGACACTGGCCTTACTTTCTGGGCCTCCTGGCTGTGGGGCCTCCGTTCATGCCTACTCAGGGGATTCAGAGGACTTCACAGTGTAGTCTTTTTGTTTGTTTGTTTTAATATATTTTATTGATTTTTTACAGAGAGGAAGGGAGAGAGATAGAGAGCTAGAAATGTCGATGAGAGAGAAACATCGACCAGCTGCCTCCTGCACACCCCCTACCGGGGATGTGCCTGCAACCAAGGTACATGCCCTTGACCGGAATCGAACCCGGGACCTTTCAGTCCGCAGACCAACGCTCTACCATTGAGCCAAACCGGTTTTGGCCACAGCGTAGTCTTAATAGAGCAAATCAGCCAAAACCGGTTTGGCTCAGTGGATAGAGCGTCAGCCTGGGGACTGAAGGGTCCCGGTTCGATTCTAGTCAAGGGCATGTACCTTGGTTGCGGGCACATCCCCAGTGGGGGGCGTGCAGGAGGCAGCTGGTCAATGTTTCTAACTCTATCCCGCTCCCTTCCTCTCTGTAAAAAAATCAATAAAATATATTTTTTTAAAAAGAGCAAATCAAAAGGCACATTTTAACTTAATTATAATCTACACATTATAAGAGGGTGATCAAAACTTAGCCGAAATCGGTTTGGCTCAGTGGATAGAGTGTCGGTCTGTGGACTGAAAGGTCCCAGGTTCGATTCAGGTCAAGGGCATGTACATTGGTTGCGGGCACATCCCCAATAGGGGGTATGCAGGAGGCAGCTGGTCGATGTTTCTCTCTCATTGACGTTTCTAGCTCTCTATCCCTCTCTTCTCCCGTCCCCTCTGTGGAAAATCAATAAAATATATATTTTTTAAAAACTTATCAGAAAAGAAACAAGGAATGTTAGCCACCACACAGGTCAAGAAGTACCCTGTTTCCCAGAAAATAAGACAGTGCCTTATATTAATTTTTTCTCCCAAAGTTGCGCTAGGTCTTATTTTCAGGGGATGTCTTATCTTTCCAGGCGCTAGGTCTTATTTTCGGGGAAACACGGTAGAATGAACGCTGCCCGTAACCCCAAGGCCCTGCGTATGCCCAGACTCAGTCATCACCCCTCTCTCCTACACCACCATCTTGACTTTTAACATCACAGAGTAGTTTTGTCTATTTTTGAACTTTGTGTAAATAGAATCACTCTGAGTATGTTCTTTTGTGCCTGGCTTCTTCTGTTCAGCATTGTGGCTGAGAGAGTCATCGGTGCCCTTGTCGGGCATGGTGTTGGTTCATGTTCATTGTGTGAATAAAGGGTTGGGCAAAAGTAGGTGTACAGTGAGGAGTACGCAAAACAGAGTTTTGTATTCTTGTATTAGTTTCCATACAAACAACTGCAAACCTACTTTTGGCCCGCCCTTCTACAACGGTGTATGTGTCTGTTCTGCAGCTGGTGAACAATTGAATTGTTCCCAGGTTTTGGTTACTATGCACATTCTGGTGCCTGTCTTTCGGTGCCCATGTGCACGCATTGCTGTTGAGTGTATATTCAGTAGTGGAATTGCCGTGCCATGGAGCACACGTTTGTTCAATTTCAGCAGCCCCGTTTTCTGTAACAGTTGTTCCAATCCTCACTCCCATCCACGGTGCTGCACATCCTTGCCAGCCTGCTGAATTTTGGCCATTCTGGTGCTATGTAATGGTATCTCATTATGGCTGTGATTAGCATTTCTCTTTTACAATTGGGGTTGAGCGTCTTTACACGTTTAATGGCTGTTTAGATTTTTTTTTTGTGCCAATTCAAGTATCTTGCCAACTTTGTGAATGTTTCTCTGACCATTTATTATACATTTGTAGGAACTCTTTATACATTCTGGATGGAAACCTTTGAGGATTATAGGTATTGCAAATATTGTATTTTCAACTCTGTGGCTTGCCCTTTGACCCCCTTCCTGGTGGCTTTGATGAGCGAGGAGTTCATAATGTTAATGTAATCCTGTTATCCATTTTTGGACCAATACCACAGTCCTAAAAAGTACTCCAGTTTTATAGTAAGCCTGGACATCTTGTAGTGTACCTGCTCCAGCTTTTCTCTAGAATACCTTGTCTACTCTTGGCCTTTTGCATTTCCATAAATTTTAGTATCAGCTTGTCACTGTCTCAGATTTATTAGATTATATTAAATCTAGACAGATCTATTTGGACAGACTTGATAACACTTGAGCCTACCATTACATGAACATGGTCTATCCACTCATTTATCTAGGTCTTCTTTAATTTTGCTCAGCAATATTTTGTGCCATTAGAAATATTGCACATCTTTTGTTATATTTATCCTTAGGTGTTTGATTTTTTTTTTTTTTAACTCTTTGGCAAGTGGCACCTTTTTACATTTTTGTTTTCTGTTTATTGATGGTATATAAAAACTGATATTTTATATGGACTATAGACCCAGTGTTCTTGATAAAGTCACATACTAATTATAACAGATTTTATATGTAGATTCTTTGGGTTAATCTGTCATACACAGTCATATCCTCTATGAATGACAGTTTTATTTCATCTGTTTCAGTCTCTACCCTTTTTATTTCCCTTTCTCATGTTCTACATGGACTCTGTGACCTTGGACCTAACAGTTTTCTCCCCCTTTCCTTCCAGATGAGGCTGAGGCACATATTGACTATGAAGATAATTTCCCCGATGACAGGTCTGTGTCATTCCGAGAGCTCATGGAGGATTCCCGGACAGAGGCCAAGGAGGACAGGGGTCAAGGAGAAACCCCTGAGGAGGCCCCAAAACAGGACCGTCTGGTCATTTCTTCGGGGAGAGACAACATAGCCCAGGACACAGCCTTTGTGCCAACGACAGGCTTGCCCAGCACTGGGAGCAGCGTTCCCACAGACCTGCCAGGATCGGTCCTGAAAGGGAAGTACCTGTTCTGGCTTCCTGCTGAGACCTTCCACAAGCTGGAGAAGGAGATGGACGATGACACCAAGAAGCAGCTTCCTGCTGGAGACAACCACAGTGGCATAACGTTGGCCCCAGGTGAACCTGAAACCAAGGTGACCTATAGCAGCACTGGTGGAGCCTCGGGGCCGTATGTGGGCAGGAATGATAGCAAGGAAGGGGACCCAATGGTGAGCAGCAGCGACGAGTCCTGGTTAGACGGCTACCCTGTGACCGATGGGGCTTGGAGGAAGACGGAGGCCGAAGAGGAGGAAGTGGAAGAAGATGGGGACAAGGGGGATGGGTCGGTAGGGCTGGAAGAAGGTGCTCTATTTACTTCGCATCAGCCCGTTCTTGTGGAGGTTGGTAAGCCCCGGGGTACCACCCTCACCCCGAATGACGACACGACCTACCGTTCAGCTCTTCCATCTCAAACGCTAGATGCAGACGCTTCTGCTCTCAGACCCACGAGTGTGTCTGAGACCGAGGGTCCCAGCGAGGGAGAGGGTGGCTTGGCCAGGGACCAGTCGACTGTCCCTTGGAGGTTTGCCACAGAGACGTCTCCTGCGGCCACCTTACCCTACGAACTCACCAGCTCTACCCTGGTGACAGCGACAACCACTGCTGTCCCAAAGACGCCCAACCACATCCCCTCGACTACCGTGGCAGCCACCCAGGTTCCCATGGAAACCACAGCTCCCGAGGTCCAGGATAACTTCCCATACCTGCTGTCAGAGGACTTCTTGGGCCAAGAAGGCCCTGGTCCAGGCGCAACGGAGGAGGAGCTTCTTTCCACCGTGGAGCCGTGCGTAGGAGACGAGTGTCCCAGCTTCAGCAGAGGACCCATCATCGCCACGATCGTCACCGTGCTGTGCCTGCTGCTGCTCCTGGCAGGCGTGGCGGCCGTGTGGGGCTATCGCAGGTGCCAGCACAAGAGCTCCGTGTACAAGCTGAACGTCGGCCAGCGGCAGGCTCGGCACTACCACCAGCAGATTGAGATGGAGAAGGTCTAGCCATCTTCGGCGCGGGCTCTCCCAAGGCCACTTGGTAGGAAAACAAACCGTGACACATCACATTGGTAAACACTGACTGTGCACTAGAGCACGGAACAGGTGGACTAGGGCTTGCCTTTTGCTCTCAGGTCTTTGTTTTCTAGGCTGAGAAGTATCTTGGAGGTACCTGGCCAGGACAGCTTTGATGGTATCATCACACACACACACACATACACACACACACACACACACACACACACACACACACACGTCGGTATCTCCTCAGCCATCTGCCCTGGAATGAATCGCACTCATCCCCAGACCTGGGCCGGGGCCCCCATTCCACCACGAGATCAAAACTCACCTCTTGCTTCATCATACTATTGCCTTCTTTCCAAGAAATAAAAGGACTGCCTCCGTGACCTGAAATGTTTGCAATAGGCATAATAAACGGAGCATTTGAGAGCAGTGTCATTTAGGATACAGATATTTAAGGGTTGGGAATGGGGTCTAGAAGAATAATGGATTACTTCCTTTTTTTTAAATATATTTTTATTGATTTTGTACAGAGAGAAGGGAGAGAGAGAGTTAGAAACATCAATGAGAGAGAGTCATCGATCAGCTGCCTCTTGCACACCCCCTACTGGGGATATGCCCGCAACCAAGGTACATGCCCTTGACCGGAATCGAACCCGGGACCTTTCAGTCCCCAAGCTGATGCTCTATCCAATGAGCCAAACCGATTTCGGCAGATTATTTCCTTTTAATGTGATGTTGCTGAGGGCAAATGAGCTAAGAACCAGGACATAGTCTGGAAGCTTTGAGACTCTTGTTTGTTGAAATTGGAGAGAATTGAGACTGATATTTTGTTGGAGATGGGGAAAGGGAAGGTGAGGAGTAGCCGGACACACATCCATGTCTATTCCCTCCATTCTGTGGGACAGCCCATCGTGTTTTTAAAAAATAAGGTCAGCTTTGTACCGGTCAGCACCGTTTCCTCTCGGAAATGGCATAGTTGTCCTTGACCGGTCTGTGCCTAGGAATGTCTTAGAATTTTTGCCAGGACTAACAGAGCTCAGTCCCTGCTTTCCTCTCTCCGGATTAGCCATTTCTCTGAGCTCCGGTAAAAGGCAACGGCATGGGAGGGGAGACAAGTTTTAAGAGGGCTCAGGACTAGGATATCAGGTGTGGATGCCTAACTTGATGGAGAAACGCAGGAACTGAAAATGTGAAATGACCTGTGCCCATCCGTTCTTCCCTCTGCTGTTGACAATTATGAGCTCCATGGAAACAGCATGAGCCCAGGATGGATTCATCGGGCTGCAGAGCCGCCCGTTTCACAGCATCTAGGTCATCTTAGGGTGGCTCAGCAAGAACTGCGCGTGACCGTGGTTCTTCGAGCATGGCCCTCGGACCAGAGGCATCAGCTTCTCTTGGAATCATGCTGGGGCTGCAAATTCTCTGGTGCCAGCCCAGACCCACACGGCGGAAACCCTGTGCATGGGCTGGGTTCTATGTTTTCACTAGCCGTCCGGCGATTTAAGTGCAGCTCAAGGGTGAGAACCATTTGGTCTGGGATCTTTGAGGTGCGCTGAAGCCCGGAGGCCAGAAGATGAGTAACACCTGTGGTCTGTCTTGCAACGTGTGACCGAGGCAGCGTTCGAAGCTCCTGCGACACCATCTCCAGCGGTGGTTTCCTGGTATTGGTGCAGGAACAAAACACGTCACACCTTTCTAACCTGAATCGCCTTCTTAGAATTCGTTCTCACGGGTAGAAAGTGATGAAGGCATACCTGTATTTTGAGACTCTAAGAGCCCACGTGTTTTTTGTGCACCGTAAGAGGGATCCTGAACTGCTTCGCAAGTGAAAAGTCGGTGGCGGTGTTTTACTCGAGGAGGAAAAAGAATTCTTGCAACGTGTTTTCTAACCTGGCCACCTCTTTTCGGCACGAGCTTTGGAAAAACGATAGTGTAAGCGGCTATCAAGGCAGCGGGGCAAACCGAAAGGCCTTTGTCTCCCTATCGGGCAAAACCAAGACCTGAAGGCACCAAATGGAACACCTGCCTGTGTCCAATGACATCCAGAACAATAGGAATGGAATGCCTTCTGCATGTAGCCAAAGCAAGACACCACAGAATAGAAGCCAGAGACTGTACATATTTATAAATTAGATCCTTTTCTAATCTATTACAAGATAGCTCCTCTGTTTTTAACGATGTAAGATAACCTCCATCTCAGCATGGGGATTGTGTTATCCAACCATACGTAATAATCCAAGAACATTCACCTAACACCAGCCCCAAAATGGGTCATGTTAATACAGGTGTATTAATACGTTCATGACAAACATATTAATACACGCAAATGTGTTATTTTCTAGACATGAACCGCAGAATAAGCCCAACACCTAAATGTTTAAGTTGTTGATTTGGTGTCATCTAAATTTAATGATTTGGTGTCATCTAAATTTAATATTAGGGGATCTAAAAAGCACGTAGAAAGCGAATGATTAAAACGCTGTCATTATTGCATGTTTTGAGGCTAGTCAATGTCTTAATGTTCATGAAAATGGGGGGAGGGGTTCTATTAACATAAAGCTTCCATGATATTTAAAATAAATAAATATTTCCCTAACTAGTTGCTTAATGTATTTTATATCTAGGTTATATTCCCAACGGCTTAAAAAAATTAGCTTGAAAATAAGGTCTTAATACTCGCTGTGTCTAAGCTACCGCTCTAAGCCTACAGCAGGATTTCAGGGGTCTGCAGAGCTCCTCCCCCCTCCTCCCACTTCCTCACTCAACCAGCGATTACTCACCTCTCTCCCAGGCTTTGCTTCAGGGCATCCAGACCTAAGACATCTGTCAATGTGCAAACTCTTATTCCCATGTCGCCACTCCTCAATTTAAACTTTCCCAGTGTCCTCTACAGGTCTCGGGCCGACGTCAATAAAATCTGTGTTTGCCACTGCTTCTCCTAGAAGCCGGGGTTGGAACTCTCGCCGCCGTGGGTCTGCTTTTGCACCGGCTGGCTCCTCACTCTTTCCATCTGCCTCCTTCTACTCCCTCCTTTCTCCTTGCCTGGCCGTGGGTGACAGGCATGGACCATGGTGGCTGTTGGAAGTCAGGCCTAAAGGTGTTTTCAGTCCTTTGTGTTGCAAGTGACTGTTCTGCCACTTTTCAGACCTTGCCAGGGAGGGACCGACTCATCAGATCCAAAGCAAGGCCTGGATTCAAAATGGGTTTCCTGCCCTAACCGGTTTGGCTCAGTGGATAGAGTGTCGGCCCGTAGACCAAAGGGTCCTGGGTTTGATTCCAGTCAAGGGCATGTACCTCGGTTGCAGGCTTGTCTCTGGCCTGGGCAGAAGGCAACCAATCATCGTGTTTCTCTCACATCGATATTTTTCTCTCTTTCCCTCTCTCAAAAAAATCAATAAGAGTAAAAAAAAGAAGTTTTTCCTAATGTGACCCCAGGTCTCTGAAAGAGAATCTTCCTTGGGAGAAGGACCCTTTAGCCCCTGAAGGCCCGGGCCTGCTCATGGCTAATCAGGACCACTTGCTGCTGAGATCTGAAAGTCCTTGGGGGAAGGCTCTGCTTGGCTACGTCCATGTCAGAAACCTCCCGGGCCTGGGAAAACAAGAGCTCCTTAGAACAGGAAGCCCAGAATGACTGCGCGTGGTTCCACAGTCTCATCCAGCGGACGGAGAATGAAAACTGTCAAGAATATGCAAAATAAGACATGTAGTGTGATTTTTAAAAATCATCACTGTTTTTAATAATCTTCTAGGCTCTAAATTTCCCACAAGAGCGAGACTGTCTAAACGGCCCTTCCTAAGGGCGGAGGGATGGAGAGACATCAGCAACCTTTAGTTTGGCCTACCGACCGCCACCCTGAAGTGAGCAGGAAAGCTCTGTGGTTGCTCCGGGACCTGTTTGCCACATTTTTCTTTCTTTCTTTTTTTTTTAAAGAGGAAGGGAGAGGAAGAGATAGAAACATCAATGAAGGGAGAGAATCATTAATTAGCTGCCTCTTGCATGCCCCACATTGGGGATTGACCCTGCAATCCTGGCATGTGCCCTGACGGGGAATCAAACCATGACCTCCTGGCTCATAGGTCGATGCTCAACCACTGAGGCCTCATTTTTTTTTTTTCTTTTTTAAAAATACATTTTATTGATTTTTTTACAGAGAGGAAGGGAAAGGGATAGAGTTAGAAACATTGATGAGAAACATCCATCAGCTGCCTCCTGCACACACACACACACACACACACACACACACACCCGGGGATGTGCCCGCAACCAAGGTACATGCCCTTGGCTGGAGTCGAACCTGGGACCCTTGAGTCGGCAGACTGACGCTCCTTTCACTGAGCCAAACCGGTTAGGGCGAGGCCCCATTTCTTAATCTCTTCCTGTTCTTTTCAGGTAAAATGAGGCACCAGTGTTTGACCCTATGCACTGCGAGGGGGTAGCAAGCCAATTCCTTTCTTCAACAAGCCCCAGAGCCTGATCTCCTGGCAATGTTAGCAGCTAAGGTCTGGAGCCCAGGCCTGCCCTGGGGAGAGAAGCATCCTCCTGTGGCACCACCCCCAGCCGCTCCTGCCTCCCTTCTGGGGCAGGAGAGGGTCAGCCGAGGCTGCCGTGGCCTCTTCCCTCTCGGGGAGACGGCCCAGGACGGGGTGGGGAACGGCCCTGCCCTGGCTGCAGGCACAGGAAGTCCAGCACACAAAACCGTTGGCTGAGGCCTCGTTAAGGTTCCTCTCCCTCTGCCCTCCCCGCCTCGCATCTAGTTTAGGCCCTCCACACTAAGTCATTCAAGCCCGGGGCCGCCAGAAAAAAGAAGGCGCTGTTCAGGGGATGGCAGATGATCAAGAGCTCAGACAGCTGCGATGAAGGATTAGTTGTGGGTTTTTCTCGGGGCCTCGCTACACACTGGGTTGCAGCTCCATGTGCAAACACTATTAAAGGAGAATGTTTGCTCTGGCACCGGCCCACCTCCTCCCCACAGCTCCGGCATTGAATTTTTCATTTTATTTTATTTAAAAAAAAGAAAAAAGAAAAAAGAAAAACTGAAGGCGCTTGGGTTTACGGCTCACATTTAAAACTTAAAAAAAAAAACACACCGTTATTCCCATCCGTGTTGGCAGAAACCGGCCCCTGTTTATCCCACCGGCAGTCATAATAAACCCTTTCCCCCCTGACGACCTAACAAGCCATTTTCTGTTTGCCACCGAGTTCGCTTCAATACGGTGTTTGTGCTCCGAGCGCTCCCTTCGTCAGAACCGCTGAAAGCAGCCTCTCCCACGGCGCTTTGTGGTCCACGGCCGAGCGGTTCTATCGGGATGGACCCCAGGGGTGAGGAGAGGTTCGTGGCAGGAGATAGAAAGCCTCAGGGAGATGGAAAGCCTCAGGACGCGGGGAGATATGAGTACGTTGGATATGTTGATGTAGGAGACACTCCAGACAATTAGTCCCTTTTAAACCTTTGTGTCCACACACATACACACAAATCCACTGCCCATGTCTGCACAGGAACAGGGGCCAGGGTGGGTCGCCTTAGGCCTGCCCAATGGGTGCCCCTGCCCGGGTTACCAGACCAGCAATGGGGCTGGACAGATCCCCCGCCCCAGCCCCTGGGGCGGTGGCCTCCCTGGGTGGACCAGCTTGAGGACACCCGACAGAGAACCGTGTGGAGAGTCAGAGGGCAAGTGAGGTATCGTGGGTGAGTCTGGAAACTCACTCAGCTCACAAATGCGTTCGCGTTTTGGTTTTTGTCTTCAAAAGACAGAGCAGACCGATGCTGAACCCTTGAGGCTCCATCCGGGGATCCCCTAGGCTCACCTAAGAAACCCGTCCAGGGGGCGCCGGGCGGAGGTCACGGAGTGCAGCCGGCACACGGGGTTTCGTGGCAGGCTTGGAGAACTCAGCTCACCGTTCTGTTCTTTAAAGATCGGTGTTGTTTCCCTTGGAGTTAAACAGTTTAATAATTCGGTTCTGCCGCCTTCAATCCGGGCGAGGTGCCGACGATGATGTTGAACCTACTATCCCTGGGTTCCTTCCTCAGGGGACATTGCTAGGATGGGAGTGGAGGTGGTTTTCAATCCCCAGGGAAAAGAGGCCAAGTTCAGAGAGTGAATGAGGACACCACCATCACCATCACCATCACCGCCGCCACCACCCAACCCCGTGCAAAAAAACATCACCACACACAGCTCAGCCCAGACTCCGAGGCACAGGCAGAGAACCAAACGGGAGCACTGCAGGCCCCAGAGGTGGAGTGGGTCAGACCCCCCCGCCCCCTCCTAGCCCAGCCCTGGCCCTGTGGTGTCCCCGGGCTTCTCCTCACACACTGGGAAGGTCCACAGCAGCCAGGAGCCTCCAGGGAGTTAAACAGCTGCTGGGTGTAATCCCCCCCCCCCCGCCCCCCGCCATGACTCAGGAACCCTGGGGCTGGGCGTCCGCTCCCTGGGTCCCCCTCTACTTTGTAGTCCTGACCTATGGCCTCTCCCCCACGGCCTCCCAAAGGAAGTCTCTCTGGGGGAGGAGAGGGTGGGACAAGGGAAGAAAGGAGAACCCCGCATCCCATGAGCTGGGGTGCAGCCATCCGTGATGCCAAGAACACTGACTCCTTTGGCTAAGCTGCCCCCTAGGAGTCCAGACTCTGCTGGTGTCGGCACCTCCAGCCACAGCCACACCAGTGGGTTGCTGTCTTGAGCTGAGTAGCCTGGATCCTGACAGCAGGACTTCACGTAGGTAAAACAGGAAGTGCTCTCAGTAGAAGGGAAATGGGAACGGACAGCACCGCAGGAGAACTAGGGTGCATCCCGGTCCCAGAGGCTGGGCCAGTGAGATGGGGGGAAAGGAAGCTGCAGAAGCAAAGATGTGTTTTCCACCACCAGTCAGTCATCCTTACACTGAAGCCCCCAGTGTCGATGCCCCTTCATTCCTCCCCAGGCCGTTGTGGGGAAAGTCCTGCCTCCTGCCTCCATCCCTGGCGGGTCCCTACTAAACTAAGTGGCTTATCGGAGGAGGGGATAGGGTTGAATTTAAAAAGCTCAGATTCCAGAACCCCACACTCTTCTGTTTTTCTCCACCCTCAAAGGTGGCTCCCTCTTAGTCCTCCTGGTGGGATTCTCATTGCTCATGGGGATAAAATAAAATTTAAAAAAAGACTAAAATCTGGAAGAGCAGGAAGGTCAAAGTAGGTTTTCACAATTATCATCTTTTAGGAGTCTTTTTTCTTATTTAAAAAATAGTATTGGTTTTTTCTGGGGGGGGGGATTGGAAAGACTGGTGAGAAAGAAGATAGGTATGGATATGAAGAAGGCGGCGTGAATATGGGGAAGATAGGTGTGAAGATGGGGAGATAGGTGAGAACACAAGGAAAGCAGGTGTGAACTCAGGGTAGGCTGGTGTGAACTCAGGGGAAGCCGGTGTGAAGACAGGGAGGCAGGGGTGGTCAAGGGGAAAGCAGGCTCACCCCTGGTTACATGTAGTGAGAGATGAAGCTTTCCTTTCACTTCACAGAGCAAAGAGAAGGCTGTGAGGTATCAACCGCGTGGGCAGTTGGGAAAAGGAAGACAGAGAATCTGTGTTTCTTAAATATCGGAGGGAAGCCGAGACCGGTCTGGCTCAATGGATAGAGCGTCGGCTTGGGGACTGAAGGGTCCCGGGTTCGATTCCGGTCAAGGGCATGTACCTTGGTTGCAGGCATATCCCCAGTAGGGGGTGTGCAAGAGGCAGCTGATCGATGACTCTCTCTCATCGATGTTTCTAACTCTCTATCTCTCTCCCTTCCTCTCTGTACAAAATCAATAAAATATATTTTAAAAAAAAAAAAAAAAAAAAAAAAATATCGGAGGGAAGTGTCCTTGTCTCCTGTTGACTAGCTGGTCTCCTCCAGCTCCAAGAGGTCATCCACGAATTCCACCACCTCTCCCTGCAAGAGACAACAGGACACCTCTGCTGAGCGGGCTGCCTGGCTCTAAGGTGCGGGGAGCAGAGACTATTTCCAAGAGGCCGTTGCCGGCCGCCTGCGGGGGCCATAGCAGCCCTCCCTCCGCCCCTGCCCTCGGGCCCAGGGGACCCGGCTCCTCCCTGGGAGGGGACCTGGCTCCCACTCCATGTGAACGTGGAGTCACATGCCCCACAGATGCCCTGTGCGAGGTGGGCAGGCCAGCCACCCTCCAAAAGACCCTGCTCGGCACCCCCCTTCTGGACCTCCTCTCCACCCGTCTCCCCCCCTCCCATTAGCTGTTACCCCACAGGAACACTTTCGACCTGTTCCTTGTCTTGCCTTGATCACCAGACTGTGGACCAAGACCTGGGTTACTTTTCTTCCTCTTAAAAAAAAAAAAAAATATATATATATATATATATATATTTAACCTGTTAACCGGGGAGTACCCTTTTTAAATACGCAATGTATAACGGGCGCATACTCTTTCACTAGGACATGTCAGTACGTCACGCCCAGTGGACATAATTTCATATTATTATTTTTTTTTATTTGTACTTAATTAAAATAAATGAAATATATATTTTTTCGTTTATTTATATATATAAAGCACAAAGGAAAATATGAAATTACAAACAAATAGAAAAGAATACCAACAAAAAAATGGAAACATCGAATTAAAAAATTATAAATTTTACAAACAATTATAAAGATTACAAAAAATATATACTGTCCGTTTCAGAGCGCAACATATATTTCAAGGATGTATTCATATGTCCTCCTTGTTCCAGATATTGTTTACGTTTGACGTATTTATAAGTCCCACTCGGTTAACAGGATATATATATATAAACTATATATATATATAAACTATATATATAAACTATATATATATATATATATATATATATATATATATATATATATATATATATAATTGATTTTTTTTACAGAGAGGAAGGGAGAGGGATAGAGAGTTAGAAACATCAATCAACTGCCTCCTGCACACCCCCCACCGGGGATGTGCCCGCAATCAAGGTACATGCCCTTGACCAGAATCGAACCTGGGACCCTTCAGTCTGCAGGCCGACGCTCTATCCACTGAGCCAAACCGGCCTCGGCTGGGTTACTTTTCTTACCGTTTCTTTATCAGTGACATGAAAGGGCTTTACTGAATTTTCATGACAAAAGCATCCAGCGAAGGAGGAATAGAAGGGGGGCTTCCTCGACCTGACAGGGCGCGATGAGACCCCGTTTCCTGGGAACATAGTGGTGGTTTCACTTCTTCTTCCATCTGGATGCCTTCTTTCTATTTTCTCCACTAACTGCCCTGCCTAGAGCCTCCGCCACAATGTCAAGTATTGATAGAAATGGAGAGAGTGGACACCTGTCTTGCTCCCATTCTTGGAAGAAAAACAACGGTTCAGCATTTAGTATGTTGTTAGCTGTGGTTTTTTTGTTTTTGTTTTTGTCGTGTCCTCGGTCAGTGGAGGAAGTCCCCCTTCTATTCCTACTTTGTTGGGTGTTTTTATCCCGAAGGTTCAGGGAAGCTCTCTCATGCCACAAGTGAGGGAACAACTTCAGAAAGCTAGAGCGACCTGCAGGATGACAATATCCATATTACCAACCAACTGTCTCTCTATACACCAGCAATAAATAACGGAAAAATAAAAATAAGGAAACAATGCCACTCAGTTAGCATCAAGAATAACAAAATTTTCCTTGGCCAGGTAGCTCAGTGGCTTCATCCTGATACACCAAGGTTGTTGGTTCGATCCCCTGTACATATGAGAATCAACCCATGGCCCTGGCTGGTTTGGGCTCAGTGATTATCAGAGCCTCGGCCCTCGGACTGAAGGGTTATGAGTTTGTTTCCAGTCAAGGACATGTACCTCGGTTGCAGGCTCAATCCACAGACCCGGTCAGGAGGCAACCAGATGATGTGTTTCTCTCACATAAATGTTTCTCCTCTCTCTCTTCCCCATACACCTCCCCACTCCTTCCCTCCCTCTCACTATCAAAATAAAAATAATAAGAACATTAAAAAAGAATGTTTATTCTTGCCTGATTTGGCTCAGTGGATAGAGCATTGGCCTGCGGACTGAAGTCACAGGTTTGATTCCGGTCAAGGGCATGTACCTTGGTTGCGGGCATATGCCTGGGTTGCAGGCTCGATCCCCAGTGGCGGGTGTGCAGGAGGCGGCCAATCAAGGATTCTCTCTCATCATTGATGTTTCTATCTCTCTCTCCCTCTTCCTTCCTCTTTGAAATCAATAAAAATGTATTGTAACAAAGAATGGTTATTCTTAAAAAAAAAAAAGAATCAATACATGAATGCATCAATAAGTGGAACAACAAAAAGTCAATGTTTCTCTCCCTCTCTCTCTCCCTCTCTCTCTCATATATATATATATATATATCTCCAACAAATTAAAAAAAAAAAAAAGAAGAGCCCTGACTGCTCTGGCTCAGTGGATAGAGCATTGGCCAGCAGACTGAAGGGTCCCGGGTTCGATTCCAGTCAAGGGCATGTATATACCTTGGTTGCAGGCACATCCCCAATAGGGGGTGTGCAGGAGACAGCTGATCAATGTATCTAACACTCTATCCCTCTCCCTTCCTCGCTGTAAAAAAATCAATAAAGTATATTTTTTTAAAAAGAAGGAAGAAAAAAAAAACAATAAAAGAAGAAGAAGAAAGTCTCATCGATTTCCCTTAAATGAAAAAAGGATGGTTGGAGGCCCCATGGTGGGCCCCGGAGCACCTGGCGGCCGCAGCCTGGGTTCCTAGAAAGCCGCTCTGCCCATGGCAGCGCCGGCTCCCATTAAACGCCCACAGACACCGAGTCTCCAGGCCCCTCTGTTCCTTATTTCAGGGAGGACTCGCCTTCCAGTGGTGTAAGCGAAGATGTGAGTAATATTTTCTCTTAGCCAGACGTGTGCTAACCATGAAAACTTACCTCATCGTCATCCACGATATTTTCCTGAGCGAAGTCATACAGCTCTTTCTGGAGCGTCGTCACGTTGAAGAACTGAACTGCTTCCTGTTCAGACACAGACAGGGAACCGTTTAGTATTGGGACGGGGAGTGGGAGGAACAGGGCATGCATGGGGTTTCTCCTGGGGGTGATGGAAACACTTAAAATGAGGTAGTGGCCATGGCTGCACAACTCTGTGAATGTACTAAAACCAGACTGGTGCCCCTCCCAAGGGTGAATTTTACTGTATTTAAATTATATCTCATTTAAAAAAAAAACTAAAAAAAAAAGCCCTAGCTGGTTTGGCTCAGTGGATAAGAGCGTCAGCCTGTGGACTAAAGGGTCCCAGGTTCGATTCTGGCCAGAGGCACATGCCTGGGTTCCGGGCTTTATCCCCCAGTCGGGGATATGCAGGAGGCAGCCAATCAATGGTTCTCTCTCATCATTGATGTTTCTATCTCTCTCTCCCTCTCCCTTCCTCTCAGAAATCAATAAAGATATATTTAAAACAAACAAAAAACAGCCACAACCGGTTTGTCTCAGTGGATAGAGCGTCGGTCTGCAGACTGAAAGGTCCCAGGTTTGATTCCGGTCAAGGGCATGTACATTGGTTGCGGGCACATCCCCAATAGGGGGTGTGCAGGAGGCAGCTGATCGATGTTTCTCTCTCATCGACGTTTCTAGCTCTCTATCCCTCTCCCTTCCTCTCTGTAAAAAAATCAATAAAATATATATTTTTAAAAAATAATAATAATAAATAAATAAAACAACAAACAGCAGCCAATCTCCCTCGAATGACTGTGTGTGTGTGTAGATGTGAAGAAAGATATAGGACTGTGTGTGTGTGAAAGAGAGTGAGAGAGAGACAGAGAGAGAGATTGTAGGTATGTGTGTAGGAGTGAAGGAAAATGAATGTCTGTGTGTGTGTGTGTGTGTGTGTATGAAGGAAAATGTATGAATGGCAAACCAGCACCGCATACAGAAATCCCAATGGAAGTACAAGTTAAGAACAAAGATCATTTAGAAAAGGCCTTTTGAATACAATATATAACACCATTTGAGGCTGAGTTTGTCCAGCGTGGGGATTAAGTGACGATCCATTAGTAAAGGAGCCCACCACGAAGCCACTAGAAATAATAACAAAGCAGGTGTACAGGTGTGACATGGAAAATGCTCATGAATCGCTAGGAAGACAAAGCAAGCTGCTTTGTGACGTGTGAGCCTGATTCTGTTAAAAAAAAAACAGTATGTGACGTGTGAGCCTGATTCTGTTAAAAAAAAAAAAATTAATACAGGCTGTAGAGATGACTAAATGTGCAGCTATAAGGCAGGGGGTAAAGAGGAAGTACGGAGTGACGAGGGAATACTTTTACTTTCTGAGTAAAATGTTTCTGCAATGGCTTGAAATCTGTAGAATTTTTACTGGTTTAAAAAAATCAGAATACAGCAGTAAAATGTTAAGAGAGCAAAACACAGAAAATAAAACGAGTTTCCTTTCCTTTCCCAATAACCCCTTCTCTTCAGGTGCAAAGCAGTCTCCTGAGACTAAAGAGGAGGAAGGCCCTGACTGGTGGCTCAGTGGTTAGAGTGCTGTCCTGCGCACCGAAGGGTCTCGAGTTCAATTGCCAGTCAAGGGCACGTACCTGGGTTGCAGGTTCGATCCCTAGCCTTGGCCATTGAGCCTGCAGGGAGGCAACCAACGGACGTGTGTCTCTTGCATGGGTGTTTCTCTCTCTCTCTAAAAATCAATGGAAAAAATATCCTCTGGTGAGGATTAACGATAGATAGATAGCCAAAACCGGTTTGGCTCAGTGGACAGAGTGTCAGCCTGCAGACTGAAAGGTCCTGGGTTTGATCCCAGTCAAGGGCATGTACCTTGGTTGCGGGCACATCCCCAGCAGGGGGTGTGCAGGAGGCAGCTGGTCGATGTTTCTCTCTCAACGATGTTTCTAGCTCTCTATCCCTCTCCCTTACTCTCTGTAAAAAAATCAATAAAATATACTTAAAAAACTCCCACACAAATAGATAGATACCCTGTTTCCCCGAAAATAAGACAGTGTCTAATATTAATTTTTGCTCCCAAAGATATGCTAGGCCTTATTTTCAGGGGATGTTTTATTTTTCCATGAAGAAGAATACAGTACACGTATATTGTTAAATGAAAATAAAGGAAATTTATTACCTGTATACGGTACGGTAGTACGGTAGTCGTCAACACAAACCAGAGAAACTGTGAATCCTACAGTATCAAGAATTGACTCATGCCGGGACCGGTTTAGCTCAATGGATAGAGCGTCGGCTTGGGGACTGAAGGGACCCGGGTTCGATTCCGGTCAAGGGCATGTACCTTGGTTGCATGCATATCCCCAGTAGGGGGTGTGCGGGAGGCAACTGATCGATGACTCTCTCTCATCGATGTTTCTAACTCTCTATCTCTCTCCCTTCCTCTCTGTACAAAATCAATAAAAATATATTTAAAAAAAAAAAAAAAAAAAAAAAAAAAAAAAAAAAAAAAGAATTGACTCATTTATTCAGTGACAATCATGTCATCATCTTCTGGAACATCATCATCACAATCCAACTCCTGAATTTCCTGGTGAATTTCTTGTGGCTCCATTTCTTTCAGAATCAGTGGACCAAATCTCTCATGTTTAGCCTAGGGGGGGGGGGGGGCCTTATTTTCGGGGGGATGCCTTATATTTCACTCAGAAGGAAACCTGTAAGTAGGTCTTATTTTCAGAGGATGTCTTATTTTTGGGGAAACACGGTAGATAGACAGACAGAGAGATAAAGGAGGAAAGGAAGGTGATGCCCGGTGCATGGGCACTTACTGGTCTGGGCTGGAAGTGCTCATCCGACAGGCCCCACTTGTCCCTGTGGTACTGGTAATACACCAGGTTCTGCTGCATGACCTTGTCGTTGGGGTCAAAGAGCAGGTAGCTGACCGCGCAGGGCGCCGCGTTCTTCAGGTCGCTCACTGGGGTCGGGGAGGAAGAGGAACAGGACATCAGTCGCTCTCACCTGCCACCCTTCCTGCACGTGCAGCTTCCTAAGGAAAAGCCCCTTCGGGCAGCCCCTCCTTCCGAAGGCTGCGATCAACCAGAGTCACCCCTGGGCGGGCAGGTCACGGACCGGGTCTCCTAAGCAAGCAGCCTGGAGTTTTGAAACCTGGAAGTTCCTTGTCAGGCAGGAACCTTTGCAGAAATGCCTACTATCATCCGCCTCAGGCTCTGATCTGAGCTGGTCTCCCATCCCTGGAACCAGAGAAGCCAGGGGCCCACGGCCTAGAATGTCGTGGGGCTGAGGAGAGTGAGGGAGGGTGGGCTTAGCCGATGAACCCCCCCCCATCGGGGTCCTCCAGTGCCTGGGCCCCATTTGGATGGAACCACAACCTCCAGATTCCGGTAGGCCCTCCTAGAGCTACACCAAACCTAGAAGGCCCTAATGGATGGTGGCCTCTCCAGGATGGCTGAGATCTGAAAGGTCACCTGGGCTCGGCCAGTATGGTTCAGTGGATAAGCGTTGACCTATGAACCATTCCCAGACAAGGCATATGGCAAGAGGGAGCTGATCAATGATGCTCTCTCATCACTGATGTTTCTCTCTCTCTCTCCCTCTCCCTTCTTCTCTGAAACCAATAAAAATATATATTTTTAAAAAGTCACTTGGTCTTTTCATCTGCTGGAAGCAAGGTTCCCCTTAGAGTTGCCTCACCTTCGACAGCAGTTTTATTAGCACAGGAGTTTAGGAGAGGTTGGGATTTGTCTTAGGGCTAGGGACGAGGAAGAAGGCACATTCCGCCTCATTTACAACCCAGGAGCACTACCAGTACCTTTGCTAGAGCTCTGAGAATGAATAAACTGCGCCGCTTAGTGGCTGTTTCTGGTAACGACAACTTAAAAACCAGGCTTGTAAGGAGCCACTTCTTCCCAAGGCCCAGAAAGGGGTCCAGTGTAAGCAACACCACCAGCACCCAAGAAATGAGTGCGGCAGGTGACATTACGTCCACTGGACATGTTCTGGCTGGTAGATTGCAGGCTAAGGGAGGACCAACGGGAAGAACACTGCTACAGTCAGAAAAGTAAGGCCCATGTCGGGGAAGGGGAGTTAACAGACAAAAAGAACAAACACGTTTATAAAGAGTTTGCTCTGGTCGAAACCGGTTTGGCTCAGTAGATAGAGCATCAGCCTGTGGACTGGAGGGTCCCGGGTTCGATTCTGCTCAAGGGCATGTACCTTGGTTGCGGACACATCCCTGGTTGGGGGTGGGGGATGGGGCAGGAGGCAGCTGATCGATGTTTCTCTCTCATCGATGTTTCTAACTCTCTATCCTGCTCTCTTCCTCTCTGTAAAAAGTAGGTAAAATATATTTAAAATATATATATAAATATTTGCTCTGTGTCGGTGTATGAATGCCCTCAGCGTTCCACATCTAGCAATGGACTTAATCCTCACCACAGTGGTATGAGGCTAGGGCTAGCACGTCTACTTTACAGACAAGGAAACGGAGATACCGAAGTAAGTGACAAAGGTGGAATTTGATCGCAGGCAGCCTGGTTCCAGGGTCTGTGGGCGGAGTCACCACGCATGCTGCCTTTTTGTGGGAAGCACGCGTTAGGGCTGATGATGGGACTTGGATGGATTCCCCCAAAACCACAGGTAAGGGTCATGACCTCTCTTGTACGGAAGGGGAAGCTGAGTCTTTGAAGGACTGAGTCCCTTTCGCAAGATCTCCACAGAAGAGGGTGACTTACACTTATAGTAGGCAAACTGCAGGTAATGATACATGGTCGCCACGAACTTGTCCACGGGGTAGCCCCCTATCACCGGGGTGAGGTTCTCTTCGCACTGGAGTTTGCATTCCAGAACTTCTACGTAATGATCTGAAAGAATAGACGAACGTTCTTTTTTTCTTTCCCCATTACTTTCTTAATGGTCCCTCTGCCCCACCTCCCAACCCATAAAGGTAAAAATGACAAATGATGAAGGTAACATATTTGCAACACTTAGGATAAAGGACTCAAGCCTTTAACATGTCCTGTTTCTCAAATGTTAACAAGAAAAAGACAAATAACCCATGTAAAAATGGTCAAAAAGATGTGAAGAGAGAAGAAATGATAAAAAAAAAAAAATGGCTAATAAACACTGGGAAAAGATGCTAAATCTCATAATTAAGAAATTTTCTTTAGACAGAGCCATACATACAAATTGTTCAAAACAGCAAACAAACATGGAAATAACCTAAATGCCAATCAACAGGATGGTGATTAATAAATTATGGTACAGCCCTAACCGGTTTGGCTCAGTGGATAGAGTGTCGGTCTGAGGACGGAAGGGTCCCAGGTTTGATTCCGGTCTAGATCATGTACTTTGGTTGCGGGTACATCCCCGGTAGGGGGTTTGCAGGAGGCAGCTGATCGATGTTTCTCTCTCATAGACGTTTCTAGCTCTATCCCTCTCCATTCCTCTCTGTAAAAAATCAATAACATATATTTTAAAAAATAATAAAATAAAAAAAAGAAAAAAAAAAGGTACTCAGTGGAAAAAGATATACCAGAGCAAAAAAAAAAAAAAAAAAAAAAAAGATTAAAAAAACCTTAGATTCAATAATTGCCAAACTACAAGATATCGACAGCCTTTACCCAATAAAGTGCATGGCGACTTTCTAAGAGGCAGACGGTGCTCAGCTCTGTGCCGGACTTAGTGACTAGGGCACCTTCCTATGAGGTGCAGTCCTAGGCTCATGTTCCCAAAGCCAACTTGGGAAATCTTCTTCCGGCCACTTCCCATTTTCTGAGCGATGCTGCCCACTAGAGGTTCAAGAGAAATCCTTGGGAGATCGGAGCTAACCCTGCTGATGTTGTAAATCTTCTCTCTTCGCTCTCTCCTGGGTTTTCTAAGCTTCCTACAATGAGCATGCACTGCTCTATAATCAGACAATTAACTGCTTTCCAGAAGTTATCTTGGTGACAGCTACTTAGAGGCTCATCGTACGCTTCATCCTGCCTTTGTGTGTGCTGGAGAATTCCCACTATGAGAGGGATCTCAGTATCGGGAAGCACAAGCTACCCACGGGCCCGGGTTTATGTTCCCAGGAGCCTGTGGGGAACCTGTCACTGGGCAGTGCCGACGCGGTCGGCCTCCTCTGCAGGTCTGTGCTGGAGCGAGCTGTTAGATTCCCCATTTCTCCGGAAGCCCTGCCACGTCTCATCTGTGGAGGTGCCGGCCACACTCAGAAGCTCCTCCTCAGAGGCCCCGGGCAGCCGGCCGCCCCATCCACAGCTGGGACTCAGCGTCACCAACCTGCTATGGAGAGATAGAAGTCCTTGAAGTCCTTGATCTCCCTGGCGCCCTCGCAGGCGGCCAGGCACTCGTAGAAGGCTTTGAAGAAGTCGGGGAGGGCCAGCTCCATGTCGGTGATGGACGTCCTCCAGTTCTCCCCGTTGTACGCCCGCACGGCTCGGATGAACAGGCTCTGGAAGGCAGGGGGAAGCTGGTGGAACTCCCCGGCGTGCAGGAAAAATCAGACCTCCGCAGAGCTCCATTCTCATTCACTCTGAAGACACCACACTGGCCCTTCAGTAAACAGGAAGCCAGTTGCCAAAACCGGTTTGGCTCCGTGGATAGAGCGTCAGCCTTAGGACTGGAAGGTCCCAGGTTCGATTCTGGTCAAGGGCATGTACCGTGGTTGCGGGCACATCCCCAGTAGTGGGGTGGGGGGCGGGCAAGAGGCAGCTGATCGATGATTCTCTCTCATTGATGTTTCTAACTCTCTATCCTTTCTCTCTTCCTCTCTGTGAAAAATCAATAAAATATATTTTTTTAAAAACAACACGAAGCCAGTTAATGACTTATTTCTGCCTAGCTTTTCCTACCCTGTGTACAATGGTACATATTTTTTTTTAATGTATTTTTATGGATTTCAGAGAGAGGAAGGGAGAGGGAGAGGAAAAAAAAACATCAATGAGAGAGTCATTGTTCAGCTGCCTCCTGCACGCCCCTCTACTGAGGACTGAGCCCAAAACTTGGACATGTACCCTGACCAGGAATCGAACCCTGACCTCCTGGTTCATGGATAGGTGCTCAACCACTGAGCCACACTAGCCAGGCCAATGGTACGCTTCTTAATTCATTTAATTCAAAAGATTGCAAATGCTTAATAATAAAATCAAGTTCAAGTCGAGGATAAAGAGGAAACTATAGTGAAAGAAATCAGAGCAGCAGTCCTCAGGGTTTGGGGCAAAGGGGACATGAGACAACATGTTAGGGGAGATGAAAATATTCTGTCATGATTATGGTGGGAGTTACAGGACTGCATATATTTGTCCAAATTCAATGAATTGTACATTTAAAATCTGTAATTAAAGCTGATCTTAAAAAATTGAATCCAGGCCAAAACCGGTTTGGCTCAATGGATAGAGTGTCAGCCTGCAGACTGAAGGGTCCCGGGTTCGATTCTGGTCAAGGGCATGTACCTTGGTTGCGGGCACACCCCCAATAGGGGATATGCAAGAGGCAGCTGATAGATGTTTCTCTCTCATCGATGTTTCTAACTCTCTATCCCTCTCTCTTCCTCTCTGTGAAAATCAATAAAATTATTTATATATATATATATTTTAAATCAATAAAATATATTTTTTAAAAATTGAATCCAGGAAGAGATATAAGCTTGAGAGCAGGTGCCGAACCCCTGTCCCCTAACAGTGCAGTCACAAATAGGGAGGATGCACCAGCACCAGTTACTGGGAAGGGCAGCCCCCTGCCGGACAGAAGACACTTCATGGAATTTCTGCTCATGGCTGACCAGACCAGGTAAAAGAGAAATGACGAGGCTGAGGAAGCAGTGTGGTCTCACAGGAAATAAATACAGATCTCAGATACACACACAGACCTGCTCACCTGGAGGGGCCAGGACAGCCTCAGCATTCTCTCCTGGAAGAGTAAGGGGACCCCAGGAAAGAGACTTCACACACTGCGTGTGAAGGTCACCACTGCTGAGCTGGCGGGCTGGTCACACTGTGGGGAACCCTGTAGTCAGACTCCCCTGGCTCCCCCTGCATACTTCCAACATGCCCCTGTGTCTTCAATCCTGCCCCGCCTTTCATTGCTATTCATGTCCCCAGTGCCTGAGTCCAACAGGCCCAGACAATGGTAAGAGGTGTTAGAGCCTTCCTCTTCTCATTGTCCTCATTAGTTCTCATCAGCATTCCTCTTTGCAGATGCATAGATCCACGTAGCTTCTCACCCTGGCCGGTGTGGCTCCGTGGATAGAGCGTCGGCCTGCGGACTGAAGTGTCCCAGGTTCGATTCCGGTCAGGGCACATGCCCAGGTTGCGGGCTCGATCCCCAGTAAGGGGCATGCAGGAGGCAGCTGAGCCAAGATTCTCTCTCCTCATGGATGTTTCTCTCTCTTCCTCTCTGAGGTCAATAAAAAAAAAAAAAAAAATAGCTTCTCACCAGTCAAGTCTGTCCTCCTAGCCTCTCTATTCCCTTTCCACTTTAATCTGTAATAATAAAAGCGTAATATGCTAATTAGACCAGACGTCCTTCTGGATGAGGCCAGGGCTGCGAGGGAAGTCTGGGTCCTGAGTGCTGGCAGCTGGGGGAAGGAAGGCCTACTCTTGCACAAATTTTGTGCATCGGGCCTCTAGTCCTTAGATGTCTACACTTGTCCAATGAGATACACTTCTTCAACAATTCACATTGTGACCGACCAGTGTGTAACACTCCAAATATACCTCATATGACTTGGTTTCCAAGTCTTTGATGTAGTCCTCGGCATCCGGCAAGCTCTTGTAATAAGCCATGTTCTTCTTCATCATTTCGTCATCAGGATGCTTCAGCAGGAAGGTGTGGGCAGCTGCGATAGCTTTTGGGAGGTTATTTGCCTAAAGAAGAAAGAAGAACGAAGAAAGCCACTCAGTGGATAGTGAGCAATAACTTAGCAAAACCAGAAGGTCTGTTGGATCTTTAGTAACTTAGTGTTTCTACACAGCGTTCCCAGAGGTTAGGGTTCAGAGACTTCCATGGCCCATTACGACTTGGTCCAGCCGAAGCCGGTTTGGCTCAGTGGTGGAGCGTCGGTCTGCGGACTGAAGGGTCCCAGGTTCGATTCCAGTCAAGGGCATGTACATTGGTTGCAGGCACATCCCCGGTAGGGGGTGTGCAAGAGGCAGCTGGTCGATGTTTCTCTCTCATCGACATTTCTAGCTCTCTATCTCTCTCCCTTCCTCTCTGTGAAAAATCAATAAGATATATATTTAAAAAAAAAAAAAAAAGACTTGGTCCAGCCGAAACCGGTTTGGCTCAGTGAATTGAGCGTCTGCCTGCAGACTGAGAGGTCCCAGGTTTGATTCCGGTCAAGGGCATGTACCTTGGTTGCGTGCACATCCCCAGTAGGGGGTGTGCAAGAGGCAGCTGATCGATGACTCTCTCTCATCGATGTTTCTGGCTCTCTATCTCTCTCCCTTCCTCTCTGTACAAAATCAATAAAATATATTAAAATAAATAATAACCCAGCTTTCCTTTTATTTGGGTTTTAGTGCTATTTTATTGCTCATGTGGTTATTTCAGGGGAAATATGAAAAACAGATCTTGCAGGCCAAACACTCAAAGCAAAGTTAAACAAAACAACCAACTTCTATATTCCAGAGTCTGGCAAATGTCATGCATCTAATTTTGCAGTCATTAAAAGAAATGCAGTTATACTGTTTTTAAAATCGTTTCTAATTAGATAAAAGTAGAATCTGGGCTCTCTTGGCAAGTCCCAGTGAAGACCTGCAAAGCCAACGCCTCTTTACCCAGTAACAGGGAATTCAGCCCATTCTTAAAACTTGCAGATCTCCAAGGATAGAGAACTGCAATTTGTGTGGCTATTTTTAGCCAGCAATCACAGACAGAATCAAAGCAGCTGCAAAAAGGAGAAAGACAGCTGTGCTAAATTTAAATCTAGAAGACAGACAGCAGAGAGCACCCATCCCGATGAATCAGTGCTAAGTTCTGCTCCTCCAGGCAGGGATGTGTTGTTCTCCCCTTTCCTGGCCTCGACTTCCTCCTCTTTTAAAGGGACTAGGCGTTGAGGCCGGTTTGGCTCAGTGGATAGAGAGGTTAGCCTGAAGACTGAGGAGTCCCGGATTGATTCCTGCCTGGGGCATGTACCTTGGTTGCTGGTACATCCCCAGTGGGTGGGTGTGCAGGAGGCAGCTGATGGATGTTTCCTCTCTCATCTATGTTTCTGACTTTCTATCTCTCCCTTCCTTTCTGTTAAAAAAAAAAATCAATAAAATATATTTAAAAATAAATATTATAAATAAAGGGACTAGGCAGCTCCTCAGGCCCTCTGTTACTGAATAGGACTTGAATGGCATATACTGTCTTCCAAGAATGGGTAACAACGACCAGGCGGCGCATTGCGCTAGATGTTCTGTGCACGTACTCTCTGCCTCAGAACAACCCTTCAGGGAAGGCATTTCCAGCTCTGAGATGAGTAAGGGCGGAGTGATCTGGAGGCGTCCTTGGCCAAGGCTGTGAGCCTCTGAGAGCTGGGTGCAGCCAGGACAGTGGAAGCTGGCCCAGCACGAAGGGGGCGGGGCCTGCGTCAGGGCGGGGCCTGCTCCGGGGGCGGGGAAGGGGCGGGGCCAGCAAAGGCAGACTTGCCTTGAAGTAGTAGGCCCAGCAGGAAGGGGGCGGGGCCTGCTCCTGGGGCGGCCCCGGGGCGGGACAGGGGGCGGGCCCTGCTTCGGGGGCGGGGCCCGGCGCTGGGCGGACTTGCCTTGAAGTAGGCGAACTGCAGGAACTTGTAGGGCTCCCGGCGCTGGAACTCGGCCAGGACCTCGCGGCTGGGCTGCGACTGGCGGAAGGCCGGCAGGCCCTGCTTGCAGCGCTTGAGGCAGTGCGCCCGGCGCAGCAGGCCCCCGAAGAGCCGCAGCTCGGGGTAGCGGGCCAGGCCGGCGGCGGCGGCGGGCTCGGGCGCGGGCGCCGCGCTGCAGTTGCGGTGGCAGAAGGCCTCGCTGTCGCGCAGCAGGCGGTGCAGCCGCAGGCTGATCTCCAGGTAGCCCACGCTCTCGGCCCAGCGCTCGCCGCCGTACTGGTCCAGGGCGTGCCGGTAGGCCGACTCGAGCGGCATCAGCTCGTCCCGCGGGAAGCTGCGGAAGCTGTAGCGCTCGTACTGGGCGCGCCCGGGGCGCAGCGCACAGCCCGCGCACAGCAGCAGCAGCAGCGCCCCGGCCGCGCCGCGTCCCGGCTCCATCATCGCGCCGGCGGGCGGAAGGAAGGGAGGAAGGAAGGACGGACGGGAGCAAGGAGGGGAGGAAGGAGGACGGCGCGAGGCGGCGGGCGGAATGCCGCGGAGGCGGGGACGCCAGCCTCTGGCCCGCCCCGTCGGGCCGCCCCTCCCCACCCGGACCGAGGGGGTCCCTGCAGCCGCCCGGGTGGGGATGGACGGTGCCCCGGGAAGAACCCGTTGCCTCCAGGTGCCTACACTGTCCAACCGGTGCAGGGGCTCTGCTGTTCCCTGGTCGGGGGGTGGCGGTCTGTGAGCCAAATGCTGCCCTAATAAGATCTTAAACATTTTTTTAAAAAAGATATTTTACAGAGAGCCAAAAACATCGACCAGCTGCCTCCTGCACACCCCCAACCGGGGATGTGCCCACAACCAAGGTACATGCCCTTGACCGGAATCAAACCTGGGACCCCCTCAGTCCGCAGGCCAAAACTCCATCCACTGAACCAATCCAGTTTTGGCTAGATCATAAACTTTATAATCACTTAGAGGACTTGTGAAAACGCAGATGCCTGGGCTGTACCCCCAGAGTTTCTGATTTAGCAAGTCTGAGGGTATGACTTAGAATTTTATTCTAATCTCTTGAATTTTATTTTTTTTTTATTTTTAAATATATTTTATTGATTTTTGTACAGAGAGGAAGGGAGAGAGATAGAGAGTTAGAAACATCGATGAGAGAGAGTCATCGATCAGCCGCCTCTTGCACATCCCCTACTGGGGATATGCCTGCAACCAAGGTACATGCCCTTGACCGGAATCGAACGCGGGACCTTTCAGTCCCCAAGCCGACGCTCTATCCATTGAGCCAAACCGGTCTTGGCTTGAATTTTATTTTTAAATTACCGTTTGCATTCAATATAATTTTGTATTCGTTTCAGATGTGCAGTAGAGCAGTTACACAATCATATACTTTACAAAATGTATCCGGCCCCTCCACCCCCATCCCGTACTTAGTTATTTCTGTATGATTGACTATATTCCCTATGCTGAGATCCCTAGGACTATTTTGTAACTAACCAATTTGTATGTTACCCCTTCACCCAGATGACTAGGCAGAACCCAGAGGATTTTTAAGCGGCGAAACTATTCTGTACGATCCTATAATGGCAAATAAATCTTAATATATACATTTGTCAAAATCCATAGAATGTACAATATCAAGAGTGAAACCTAGCCCTGACTGGTTTGGCTCAGTGGATATAGCCTCAGCCTACAGACTGAAGGGTTCTGGGTTCAATTCCAGTCAAGGGCACATGCCTGGGTTGTGTGCTTGATCCCCAGTAAGGGATGTGCAGGAGGCAGCTGATCAATGATTCTCTCTCATCATTGATGTTTCTATCTCTCTCTCCCTCTCTCTTTCTCTCTGAAATCAATAAACACATTAAAAAAAAAAAAAAAAAAAAAAGAGTGAACCCTAATGTAAACTATGAACTTTGGGTGACTAGGATGTGTCAGTGTAGGTTAATCAGTTGTAACATGTATCTCTGGGTATGGAATTCTGATTGTGGGGAAAGCTGTGTGTATGTGGTGGCACAGAGGAAATCTCTGCTCATATGTTTTAAAAATATATGTTGCAGGGGGCACACAGGAAATCTCTGCTCACATATTTTGCTGTTGTTTGATAGAAATTATTTTTTAAATATATTTTTATTGATTTTTTACAGAGAGGAAGGGAGAGAGAAAGCTAGAAACGTCGATGAGAGAGAAACACCGACCAGCTGCCTCTTGCACACCCCCTACCGGAATCGAACCTGGGACCTTTCAGTCCGCAGACCAACACTCTACCCACTGAGCCAAACTGGTTTCAGCTCTGCTCACATGTTTTAAAAATATGTTTTTATTGATTTCAGAGAAGAAGGGAGAGAAAGAAACATCAGACATGAGAGGCAATCCTGCAACCTGACCCGGAATTGAACCATGATCTCCTGGTTCATAAGAGGTCAGTCACTGAGCCATACCAGCGGGGCTCTGCTCAATTTTGCTGCAAATAAAACAATAGTCTGTTTTTAAAAAGAATACTAGCCGTTATCTTTAAAAAGTTCCCTCATTTGGGGTTTCTCTGATGTTTCCTCATGATTAGATTCAAATAAGTTCGTTTGGCCAGAAAGCCACAGAAGCAGAATTGCATCTCTCTCTGGTGTCACATGGAGAAACGCAGGATCTGCCTCTTATCCGTGAGGTTAACGTTGATTACTTTGGTAGGGTCATGGCTTCTCCACTTGATTACTTTTGTAATTAGTAAATGTTTTTGGTGCCTAGCAGCACCTTTTTTTTTTTTTTAAATATGTTTTATTGATTTTTTACAGAGAGGAAAGGAGAGAGATAGAGAGCTAGAAACGTCGATGAGAGAGAATCATCGACCAGCTGCCTCTTGCACACCCCCCTACTGGGGATGTGCCCGCAACCAAGGTACATGCCCTTGACCGGGATCGAACCTGGGACCTTTCAGTCCACAGGCTGACACTCTATCCACTGAGCCAAACTGGATTGAGCAGCACTTTTCTGAATAGCAGAAAGCAGAAATAACCTGTCCATAAACGGGGTTATTGTTGTTTTTATTTGTTTGCTTGGTTTTAATTTTTTTATTTTAGAGAGTGGAGGGAGGGAGAGAGAGAAACATCAGTTGGGTTGCCTCCCTCACACGCCCTGGCTGGGGATCGAGCCTGAAACCTGGGTATGTGCACTGACCGGGAATCGAACCTGTCACCTTTTGGTGTATGGGACGATGCTCCAACCAAATCACACCAGCCAGGGCTGGATTGTTGTTTTTAAGTGAGAATATATGCACATAGAATAATATATTACATCAGGGGGAAATGATAGTATTATAGTATGAACATAACACAGTTCAATCTAAAAAAAAAAATAGAGAATAACTTCATTTGTCTAAAGTTTTAAAAGTATCTCAGAGCACACAAAATATTATTTAGGAATGCAAATACCGTAGTCTTACCTCCTACAAGCACGCAGAATGATACCCCAGTGATGAAGAAGGAGCCACACAGACACTTCCGATAGTGATTTCCTGTAGGGTGGAAGGAAGAACATGGAATTGGGATAGAGTCACCTGGGGAAGAAGGAATGGGAGTGAGTATGAGGACACTCACTGTTTCATTTTCTATGCCATGCATGTATTTTCCCATACATGCATTTGTAAGATATTATCTTATACTTAGTTGTTACTTTAAAACAATTTTTAGGGAAACAATTGCAGCAGTGCAATAAAGAAAATAAAACGGAGTGGGATGGAGTGGAGAGAGGTTGCACGAAGGGGAGGTGTCTGAGCAGAAACCAGAATGGAGAGAAGGAGCCTGCAGAGATGGCAGAATTTGGGGGAGAGGTACCTGGTTCCCAGTTGCCTCCAGCCCAGAGCATCCATGGCCCGCCATCTTACTTCGAGCTCAATACCCGAATGTGTGGAGAACGTGAAAAAGGCAAACGCCCCCATACAAAAACACACACACAAACAGAAATGTCCAGTAACCCAACAACAACCTTGCAAAGATGTGGCTGAGAGACCGGGTGATGGAAAGAAGACAGGAGAGAATGTTTAAAACAAAGTCCTCACCGTGGCAACTGTGGTTCCGTTGGCTGGAGCAATGCCCAGTACAGCAAAAGGTTGTGGGTTCAGTTCCCAGTTAGGGCACACACCTAGGTTGCTGGCTCACATTGATGTGTCTCTCCTTCCCTTCCTCTTTCTCTAAAAATCAATAAACATATTCTCAGGTGAGGGTTTTAAGAAAATTATTGAGAGAATAAACAAAAGCAAAGTCCTTGTTTTTTGTTTTGTTTTCCCCCCTAAGGCAAGCCTCACTTGGGATGTTTTATATTTTTACTTATACCTCAAAAACATACCTGTTTTTAGAAACTGAAAGGGAATTTCTTGTCCCATAAAAACATAGGGACAAGAACATCCTAGCACTCATGACTGTCATATGGCATGCTGCTAACTTTTATGGAAGCTATGAGGAAACTGTTAGCTGATTATTTCACAATTTTATCTTTTTATTCTTTCATAACCATAACCAATAAGTTGGTTGTACAGCTTAACTCCTAAACACAGGTCTCATGATTTCCTGTGTCAGAAAATATGAAGATGTGAGAAAGATTTGGAATTGCTGCACAGCCCAACTGTCCACTTCAGCAGGCCCAAGACTTTAGGGTTGTTGTTGTTTTTTTTAGCTTTAAAAATATATATTTTTAGTTTTTTAAAAAAAATTTTCAGTCTCATATTTTTATTGATGAGATGAGAGAGAGGAAGGGGTAGGCCACATGCCCAGGATTCCCAACATGCAAGAGGCAGCCCATTGATGATGTTTTTCTCTCATCGATGTTTCTGTCTCTCTATCCCTCTCCCTGCCTCTCTCTCTAAAAGTCAATAAAAAATATTCTTAAAAATAGACCTTTTCATTATTAGATTTAACAAACTTTTGCTCCCTAGCCAGTTATGCTCAGTGGCTAGAGCATCAGCCTGTCGACTGAAGGCTCCCAGGTTCCATTCCAGATCGGGGCACATGCCCAAGTTGCAGGCTCGATCTCTCTGAAGTCAATAAAAATATATTTAGCCGAAGCCGGTTTGGCTCAGTGGATAGAGCATCGGTCTGCGGACTGAAAGGTCCCAGGTTCGATTCCGGTCAAGGGCATGTACCTTGGTTGCGCGTACATCCCCGGTAGGGGGTGTGCAAGAGGCAGCTGGTCAATGTTTCTCTCTCATCGACATTTCTAGCTCTCTATCCCTCTTCCTTTCTCTCTGTTAAAAATCAATAAAATATATTTTAAAATAAATAAATAAATAAATAAATATATTTAATATATATAAAATATATAAATATAACAAACAAGAGAACAAGCTTTTGCAAATTGCTACAAGTTTCTAAATACCTACTTTGGATTTCTGTTCCTATCGCTGTCCTTGGACCACAGTTGGAGTAGCACTGGAGCATGTACTGTAATTGTGTCCCTGAGCATCTTTTTCATGGAAGATGGGTCCTTCCAGGGCGACAGCTTTCTCATGGTCATTCCATGTCCCCCACAACCTGGAACAGAAGGCTTTATATCCGGCACACTATACATGCACACTTCATTTGGACAGGAACTGAAAATGTTTGAACAGAAAAAAAGGCCATGACCATGTGACTTTCAAGACTCCATTACTTCCTGGCTTTGAGGCTATTGGCAAGTCATTTAACTCCACCGTGCCTCCGTTTTCTCATCTGTGAAATGTGGGAAATAACATGCAACTTGGATCTTGAGGCAGAGTGACACACAGATGGTAAAGCAATCAACCCAACAATGGCCATTAGTGTTATTGCTACCGGTAGTTCAACTACAATACCAAGTCAAATACTATAATAAAATCTCAGAAACAAACTACAGTATGTAGTTAGTCTCTGGGCAGGCTTTTACTGTGAAGGGCCAGAGAGAAAATATTTTCGGTTTGGGGGCCAAAGGACTCTGCTTCAGCTATTCGATTCTGCCGCTGTAGTGCAAAAGCCGGCTATGTAGCTTGTAAAGAATGGGGAGACACTGTGTTCTTACTCAACTTTATTCATAGACAGACATTTCAGTCTCATTGTTTCCAAATGTCACAGAATATTATTCTGAAAATGTTTCCAACCATTTAAAAATGTAAAAATGATTCTTAACTGACAGCCCATACAAAAACAGGCATCAGGCCGGATTTGAGCTGCCAGCTTTAGTTTGTTTAGCACGATGCTAAACACTTCCTGCCTCAATTGAGTTGAAAATGCCTGCTGCGTATTGGGGGGAGGAGGTAAGAAAGATTAATTCTGCTATTTGCTAAAGATTTTTTTTTAAATTGATATTATTTTGCGATAATTCAGACTTAGAAAAAAAATTGAAGAAACAATAGAAAGAGAGAGGAAAGGAGAGGGAGCAAGGGATAGAAACATCAATGAGAGAGAATCACTGATTGGCTGCCTCCTGCATGCCCCCTACTAGGGATCAAGCCCACAACCTGGGCATGTGCCTTGGCCAGAAGTCCAACTGGAGACCTCTTGGTTCTTGGGTCAATGTTCAACCCATGTGGGCTAATGTTGCATTTCTAAGACTATAACTCTTCCTTAAGGGACACATTTGACAGATCTGCCTACATCAGCATCACAGGGCTGTTGAGAAGCGAAATGAAAAGGTGGGAGGTGTTGCTCTCATCTCAAAACCCCACAATGAAATACAAATTCTGCAGATCCTGGTGCTTTGAAGGTTGGCATTTGGAATAATTTTACCATAGCTGAACTACATCTCTACATTAAAATGGTTCTCAAACTTCAGCATGCACCAAAAAAACCTGCAGGGTTTGTAAAAAATACAGATTTCTGGACTTCATCCTTAAGAGAGTGTCTGATTGAAAGTTCCTGGGGGTGGGGCCCTGGGACTTGCATTTTAAACCAGTTCCAGGTATCCAGTGGGTCCAGGCACTACAATTTTCCGACCCTTAGTTATTAGAGTTTTCCCGAGAATCCTAGGGCTGGGATTCTATCTCGTGCACTCAGGTTTATCTGGTCTCAACTTCCCCCTTCTGTCCTCGGAGGCAGGCCGGGGGCAAGGAGACCCTGGTTAAAGTCCAACCACACTGAGCGGGTTATCTAGCTGCTGACAAGCAGGGCCTCCAGATTGCCTTTGCAAAGGGTCTGAGGCCCGCCAGGGCCAGATAACACTATCCCGGTGTCACCGCTGCACGTGGCCTCCGGGCAGGCTCCCCGCCCCCGGGTCAGCTGCTGCCACAGGGCGGAGCTAGGGGCGGGGACCGCGGGCAGGACCGGGGCGCGGGGCGGGGCCGGGCCGTGGGTCCTCGGTGTAGGCTGGCCCCAGCGCTGACTGTACCGACTGCAGAAACCGGAGGGACGAGGACATGCTGGGGCCAGCCCATCGCATCCTGTCGCTGTGGCTGGTGTCGCTACTGCCAGGGATGGCGCGCAGCTTCCGTGTGAGTCCACGGGCTCCCCGCGCGGGGATGCATGGATCAGGGGGACCTTCTGGCGAAGGACTGGGCTGGGGCTACGGCCAAGAGGGGTGGGTGCTGGGGGGCGGCGGGCCTGGGATCCCGGGGTGCACCCCGCTGGCCCGCGGCTTGCAGAGCGCAGGCAGCAGCCTGGCCTCCTGTCCGGGGCGGGTCGGACGGGCCGGGCGGGGCGCGCGTCCTTCCCGGTAGCCGGTCGGTCGCTTGTGTGTTCCGCTCCGGACGCCGGTGGTTTCGCTGGGACCCAGGTCCCCCAAAGGTGCCGCGAGGTGGGGGTTGGGGGTTGGGGGTGGGATGAGGAAACACCCTTGCAGTTTCGCCTTCAGGATGGGGGATTCTGAACAAGCGCGCGTTAGAGGAGGAAGTCTTGGGCTCTGGCTTGGGGCGCCCTCCCTGGCCCGGCGTGTGCTCTGCTTGCGGGGCGCTCCGGAAGGAGAAAATGGGGTGCCCCCTTCCCCCCCCCCCCCCCCCCGCCATGGGAACTTTGGGTTCATTGCTTTCGAGACGTCCTCTATCCAAACACCCCGTGCCCTTCTTGCCACTCCCCGCCGCCGCCTGCCTCCTCCTTTTTGACTTGGATTTTCCAAACCTTCAGGGTCGCCGAGGGCGAGGGCGGGCTGGAGGTGGGAGGCAGGTGGCAGCCAGGGCTGCTGCAGGGAGGTCTGCGGGAGCGGGGAGGCGAGGGGGACCCGCCTGATGGGAGAAGAACTGCAGGGAATTGAAACCGCACCAGCTCTGCTTCCTCCAGAGTCTGGGTGGGCCGAGTCTGGGGCTCTGCGTGCGGTAGAAGTGGTGAAATTCGGGCCCACTGGTTGTAAACCATCCCCTGCAATCAGAGGCTTAGAGTAACTTGCCTAGAGCAAAGTCAATCTTAAGTATTTGGAAACGCCTACGGAACGAACGTATTTAATTTAGAGTCACCTCCTATGGAGTATTCGCTGCCCTGTCTACTGGGGTCTGAGGCTCCTGTGCCCCAGTTTGTGTGTGTGTGTGTGTTTTGGCCAGGAGGCCAGGGGGAGACCCCCGGGGGGGGGACTAGCCCGCGGTGAGAACCATAGGAAGAGTGGCAGAGATGAGTGTGTGCGGGAAGACAGACCTTTATAGTTGGGTGGGCTGCGGGAGGGAGAGAGGTGGGTCTATGGGTGAGGAGCTGGTGGGCAGGGCAGTCCCCTGAGCCATGGTTGCCCTCTTTGTGCAGCATCAGTCAGCAGCGGGTGCCCTCCCACTGCCATGCCAAGGCCCGCATTTGGGAGGCCGGCCTACACCCAGGGATTCTTCCCTCGCTGGGCCTAGGGCTGAAGAAAGCTAAAAGCTTTCCGTGATTCACTTGTTTACATTTACCTTTAAAAAAAAATTTTTTTTTAAATTGATTTCAGAGAGGAAGAGGGAGAGGTAAAGAGAAACATCAAGGAAGGAAGAGAATTATTGATTGGCTACCTTCTGCAAGGCCCCCTGCTGGGGGGGGGTGGATAGAGCTCGAAACCCTTAGCGGGAATCTAACCTGGAACCCTTGAGTCCGCAGGCTGATGCTCCATCCACTGAGCCAAACCAGCTAGGTCCCTTGTTTACATTTGTTTAGAACAGCGGTTCTCAAACTTTTAACTGTCCTAGAAATTAAAATTAAAAATATCTACTAATCTATGACATGTTCAGAAACCTACGTTTTTTTTTGGGGGGGAAATAACAATGTTTACCCCCAAAATTTAGGGTGAAGAGTGGTATTAGTTTTCACTTCTGCAGATCTCTTTCCTTTGAGGACAGTTGGAGCCTCATAACGTGCTCCTGTACTCGGTGTTGCCGTAGCCTCTGTCCCGGAGCGTCTGAGGAGCTCCGCTGTGCACTCATGAGAATGAGAACGGGAAGGGCCTAGGCTCGTTGTGAAAACAACTTGAACTCAATAGACCCCCCGGAGGGTCTGGCGGGCCGAGCTCTGAGACCCGCTGACTTAGAATGATGTTTTTCAAAGTAACATCCCACAAGGCTGACGCGGGTTCCTGGTTGCAGGTGGACCCGCCCTGACCTGGCACCCTGTCCCTGGCCACTGTCCTTCCTAAGGAACTTGCCCGCCAGAACTCACCGGCACGGATCTGCTAGGGGACCCTTCTTAGGAGCCGAGACCATGGCCATCTTCAGGCAGCTCTCCCTGGGCGGGAAGGCCGCCCTGGCCGCCGGCACCGTCTTCGTGTCCATGATCATCTCCCGCTCCTACCTGGCCGAGAGCCTCGAGGTGCGGGCCTGGCGCTGGCTGTTCCGCCTGCAGCTTGCCCTGTTTGCCAACTCGCTCATGCTCATCGGCTCCCTCTACATCTGGCGCAGCACCGTGGGCAGCCTGGGCCACGCGGCAGCCTCGCCGTCGGCCTGTTTTCGCCTCTGGAAGGCGGCGGTCGTGGCCTTCCTGGCCCTGGCCCACTCCAGCTTCTTCACCATGCTCTTCCTGGTGGCCGAGGAGCCCTACCTCTTCTCCCTGGCCGCCTACGCCTGCCTCGGGGCGTACATCCTCATGCTCTTCTTCCTCGGCACCCTCAGCGGCGTAGAGCAGGCCTGCCAGCTCCTGGCCTGGCGCAGCGGCCGGCCGGTGGGCAGCCCGGACAAGGCGAGGAGGCTGGTGCTGCGGCCGGCCCTGGCGGTGGCGGTGACTGCCGTGCTGAGCCTCGCGGGGCTGCTGAACGCCGCCCAGCCGCCCGCGGTGAGGACGGTGGCGGTGCCCATCCGCCGGCTGCCCGCCTCCATGGACCGCCTCAAGATCGCGCTCCTCTCGGACATCCACCTGGGCCCCACCGTGGGCAGGGCCAAGCTGGAGACGTTCGTGGGGATGGTGAACGCGCTGGAGCCCGACGTCACGGTGATCGTGGGGGACCTGTGCGACGCGGAGGCCGCCGCCCTGCGGACGGCCGTGGCCCCGCTGGGCCGGCTCCGCTCCCGCCTGGGCACCTACTTCGTCACCGGCAACCATGAGTACTACACGTCGGACGTGGGCAACTGGTTCGCGCTGCTGGAGTCCCTGGGGGTGAGGCCCCTGCACAACGAGAACGTGAGGATCTCTGCCCCCCGGGCCAGCAAGGAGGAGGAGGAGGACGCCTGGATCTGCTTGGCCGGCGTGGATGACATCGAGGCGGACATCCTGCACTACGCCGGCCACGGGATGGACCTGGAGAAGGCACTGGCGGGCTGCCGCCCGGACCATGCCACCATCCTGCTGGCCCACCAGCCCCTGGCGGCCAAGAGAGCCCTCCAGGCCCGGCCGGATATCGACCTGATCCTTTCCGGGCACACCCACGCCGGGCAGATCTTCCCCTTGAACGTGGCGGCCTACCTCCTGAACCCCTTCTTCGCCGGCCTCTACCAGGCGGCCCAGACCACCTACGTGTACGTCAGCCCAGGCACGGCCTACTACGGCATCCCCATGAGACTGGGGAGCCGGGCCGAGATCACAGAGCTCATCCTGCAGCGGCCGGCTCCCTGAACCCGGCCCCGCCCTCTCCCCCCTCCTCCCCCGCCCTGGCCCTCGTCCTCTCTCCCTCTGCTGCGGGGCGGGCTGCCTGCTTTCTTCCCCCCCCCCCTCCCCCCCAGCCTTTCCTGCCCAGCCCTGCGGACACACCCTGGCCACCGCTTGGTTTGAACCGTGATTTGTGGTGGGGCCGCCGGGCAGGTTAGCTCTGTAGACGGCCAGCTGCTTTCTTCTACGCATTTGTGAGGTCACCAGTCACATGCGTAAGAACGGGCGCCTGTTGTCCAGACGATGCGGCGTTAAGTCCCCCCTCCCAGGAATAAACCACATTAAAGAAACACGGGGTGGCTTGCAAGGGATGCCTCCTAGAAAGCAGAGTGGGGAGGGAACTCTGAGTGCCTTTCAGACCCTCCTAGGACTTGGGCAGAATCATGGATGCAGAGCCTTCTGGGTGAGGGGCGTGTTGCTGGCCATCTGGGAGAGCCGGTGGGATGGAGGCCCCTCCGGCTGCTGGAGGAGAAGAACTTATTTCCCCCCATTGGTTCTTTCAGAGTCTCCTCTATGGAGAGAACTGGCAGAACCTGCTGGAGTACAGAGCTCATCTTAGTCCAGGCCTGGAGGGATGCTGTTCCTGTCGGTGCTCCTGGGCCTCGGGGATGGTGGGGATGGTGGGGATGGTGGTGTTGGGGGTGGGTGGGAAGAAGCAGAGTGCTGCATGGGGACTCCAAGGGTGTTTGCCTCCTTTTATGCAATCGGGTGAGGTAGCGAGGCACTGGGCAAAGGGCACTGGCAACCTGACAGGGAGATTCTCGGGTAGAAACCACCTCGGATACCTCCCAAAGAAGGTGTTCTTATCACTCTCTGGTGGCTCAGGATTTCGTCAGTCACCAGAAGTCAGAGAACGAGGACCTGGAACCTGATGTTCCTTCAAAGTGGTTTGCTTGAGGCTAATTTCACTTCCCCTGTGTAACTACGTGGGGTAGTTTCAGTTCGGTGTGGAATGTCTTTCTGTGTTAGAGGAAGAGCCAGGACCCTGGAGTCCCACCCCAGGTTGGGGTCTTTTTGTGTGTGTGTAGGAAACAGGCTCTCTCTCCCAGGGGGGAAGTTGCACGGGGAGTGGCAGGCCCTTGGGCTCCAACAGGGCCTTGCGGCCTTGCCTCTTGCTGGGCCCTGGCTGTGGAGTGCTGGGACCCTCCTTCCTATATCAGACGGCTTCCAGTTCCCTGGCCTGACCTAGTAGAACTGTCCCAGGACTCTGGCCGCAGACCCATAGGGCCACCTCTGCTGGCCACCGGACCCATAGGAAAACAACCAGAGGTTACCGGGACTGGCCCTTGTGCCAGAACCAAGAGACCCTAGGCCCCTGGGGCAGCCATCAGCAGCCCTGTTAGGAAAGGCCTCTCTGAGGAGAGACTGAGGACCTGGGCTCAGCGTCGACATTTTTGTGACCGAGCGTCTTTCTCCGTAAAACACGGGGACCACGGACACCGCTCTGATTGGAGAGGCCCACCCTGCTGCTCACTGCCAGGCCGCTGGGCGGGAGACTTGACCTCCCTGAGCCTCGGTTTCCCTCACCCTAAAATGGGGCTAATGATCGTATCTACCTCAAGCCTGTCTCGTGGGGAGGGCCCTTAGACTCGGCGTGTGAGGTGCATGTGGCACAGTCACAGTGGAAGCACTCGGTGTTTGTTGTTCATCTGTGAGCACAGTGGGGCTCACTGAGGAGCCGTGTTGGGTGCGGGCACCCTGGGAGTTTATGGAGCCGGCAAACCCGGGGGGGGGGAGGTGAGCGGGTCCCGTGTCGCCTGCTGCTGGGCACAGTGATCGGTGGTGTTGGCTGTCCTCGGCCTGTGTGACTCTCCGGTGCACGCTCTGCCTTGTGGCTCTCGGGATCCTGAAGACCACCCTGATTTCCAACGTGTTGACAGCAAGCCTTCCTCTCCGTTAGACACAGAACAGGCCCACCTTACCTGTCCGAGGAAGAGTCCTGGGAGGCTCGTGTTCCACGATGTGGCAGGAGTTTCCAGGAGAAAGTTGTCCTTGACCGCCATCTGCACCTCTGTTCTTCCCCATCTACCTTCTTCTGTTTGTGGCTAGAGGAGGTGGAGAGAAGTACAAAAGTTACTTGGCGCTTGAAAATTCTTTCCATTTTATTTTATTTTTAAAAAATCTGTACACGCATGTTAAAACAAAACGTTTTTAAGAAATTAACAACAGCATGTGTAGTGTGATCCTACTATTGTTAAACTTCAGTACCTTAGACCCACTGTCGTCCATTCCACACATCCATCTTTTTTTCCTTTGCAGAAAACTTTATTGTGAACATTTTTAAATATTCATAAAGTGCACAGAACAAAACCTCTTGAACCTCCATGGGCTCACCACCCAGCTTCCACAACTGTGACTGTTGTTCTTTCTCATTTACCCCTGCCCCGCACTGTTTTTTCTCTTTTGGCTGGACAGTATTAAGCTAAACCTTAGAAAATATAATTTTACCCCCAAAATACTTCCGTATGAATCCTTTCTAGAAAAGTATACACATAATGCTATTCTATCCAAGGAAACTAACAGCAATTCTTTAATATCATCTACCATCTCATCTAGTAAGAGGGTTGGGGGCTAGAAGCCAGGTCTTCAGTGGTTTTTTTTCCCCACTCAGAGTAAAGCAACTGTATCTGTTACAGGTGAGTAACAGGATTCAAATACAGTTGACTGTCCAAAGAGTTCGTATTGAGTTGTTCCTGCTTATCTGAATTGTCTCCATCTCCCCTCCCCCAACCTGGTCAAAAGCACACAGCATAACATTTAGCATTTTAATGATTTCTAAGTGTATAGTTCAGTAATGTTAAGGGTAGTCACACTGTTGTGAAACAGGTCTCCCGAGTTTTTTATCTTGCAAATCTGAAACTCTATACCCAGTAAACAATAGGTCCTCTTTTCCCCTTCCCTCAGCTCCTAATAACCAGCATTTTAATTATTTTTTTAAAAATATGTATTTTTATTGATTTCAGAGAGGAAGGAAGCGGGAGAGAGGAGAGAAACATCGATGATAAGAGAGCATCATGGATCAGCTGCCTCCTGCAAGTCCCCCACTGGGGATTGAGCCCACAACCCAGGCATGGGCCCTTGGCCGGAATTGAACCTGGAACCTTTACGTTCACAGGCTGACGCTTAATCCACTGAGCCAAACCATCTAGGGCACCACCATTTTACATTCTGATGAATTCGACTCCTCTGGGTACCATGTATACGTGGATCATGCATCGTTTATTTGTGATGGCTTATTTCACTTAACATCATGTCCTCAGTGTTCATCCATGTGGTAGCATGTGACAAGACTACCTTTCTAAGGCTGAATATTTCTTTGTATGTATATATCACATTTTGTTTATCCATTCATCAGTGCACATTCGGGTTGCTTCTGCTGTTTTTTTGTGGTTTGGTTTTGTTTTGTTTTTGTCTACTGTGAATAATGCTGCTGGGAACATGGGAGTGCAAATATCTCTTCAAAAGACCTTGCTTTCTATTCTTTTGGAAAAATACTCAGGAGTCAGATTGCTGGATTATATAGTAGTTCTGGTTTTTCATTTTTTGAGGAACCTCCATACTGTTTTCCATAGTTGAACCATTTTATAACCCCACCAACAGTACACAAAGGGTCTGATTTCTCTCCATTTTCACAGAACTAGTCATTGTTTGTTTGTTTTTTTGTTAGTAGTGTGAGGTGATAACTTATTGTGATTTCGATTTGCATTCCTCTGATGATTAGTGGTGTTGAGCTTCTTTTCATATATTCTATCATTTGTATATCGTCTTTGGAAATGTCTATTTAAGTCTTTCCCCCATTTCAAAATCAGGTTATTTGACTTTTTGTTGTTGAGTTGTAAGAGTCCTCCCCCCCCCCCTCCATCATAATTTACCCTCTTTACCCACAGTCCTTTGGGATGCTCAACAAAAATCTTTGCAGAGTCAGACAAACATAAATTAGTAAATGAAACGAATAAAAACAGAACGTAGAGGCTCATCTACAAATTTTCCAAGTCCATGTAGATTCTCACCATTCCCTGTGGTGGTTTTGCTTTTCTAGCCTGCCTTAGGTAATGGTGTTTCCATGACATTTCGTGTGTGAAAGATACATAGATCTGAAGTAATTCAAATCTGTGTTCTAGTCATCTGAAATATTCCTTCTCTTTCTTTGTCCTGTGAACTAAAGGGTCTGGGAAGCCCACAGTGTATAAAGACTCTTCCACCCCTGTCTTCTCCCCTTATTCCCTCTCCTGACAACCCTAGGTGCTAGCAGCCTAGGAGGCTTTGGGCTGTCACCTTAGAGCTGAACAGTTCATGTCAGGAATTCTGTAGGCTTTTGGTCTATATGGTGAGTTGAAAGGGTTTAGGGGATGGAGATGCATTGAGTGAGTGCTTACTAGCATCATAGGGAGGGACCTGAGGACACATCTTCGCATAATCGACATGACCCATAACCTGGGATATCACAGAGCTCCTTTCATTTCTTCATTCTAGCTGAGGAATGTGCACAAGTAATGCAAATATAGTATTGTTATTCCTGAGGGCTAGGAAACTTGGGGAATGTTCACATTACTTGATGGTGTAAATATCAGTGTTATGTTTAATGGTTGTTTTTAATGCTTATTTACTACTGAAATAATCTAAATTCAACAAATAACTTAAAAATGTTATGTTGGACAGTATTAAATCCCTAACGTGTATTTGGCCTGCAGGTATTTTGTTGATACTGCTGTGCTGTTGTTTTCACCTCCAGTCATATATGTATTATGTCCCTGAGGGACCCTGGGAAGATGTGGGCTTGGCCTTGCTTGGGATTGATTTTACTTCACATGTTTCCTATGGTCTCATACACTGTAAGCACTGATGCTACCACACCCCTGTGAGTGTGAAATAAAACTGGCTCTTCCGCACTTTGTCCCAGTGCCAATTAATTTAGGAGGGGTGGAATTTGCACACAGGGCATATTTTTACATTCTTTTCATTTGGGGGGAATAGACTCTGCATTCCTCCCTCACATTTCTTCATCTCCTTCTGTTGGTGGTGCCACAGTACGCAGATATTAAAAATGCTGACCCCTCTCTAATATCCTTAAAGGTCATTTCGGAGCCATGAAGTGGATTTTCCCTGTTAACCTTGACCATGACAGTCACCAATTGGAAGCTGTCTCTTAGGTGGTGCTGCTTCTATGACTCTCCCTATCTATCTTCTCTGTCTGCTTTTCTATTTTTTTTTTCTTCTTTGTTTGTTAATCCTCATCCTAGGATATTTTTTCCATTGATTTTTAGAGAGTGGAAAAGAAGAGGAAAGACAGAGAAAGAGAAAAACATCTATGTGAGAGAGAGACACATCAATTGATTGCCTCCTGCACGTGCCCCGCCCGAGATTGAGCCTGTAACCTAGATACATGCCCTTGATGGAATCAAACCTGCGACCCTTTTCTTGTTAGACGCATCTCAGGACAACACTCTATCCCTATAGCCACACTGGCTAGGACTCTGCCTGCTTTTCTAAGCTCCAGTTTCAGAGACTTGTCACTGCCTCCCAGGTCCAAATAGCATGTTGTCATTTATATATCAGACCAGAGGGACAGCCCATGGAATGTCCTCACAGTCAAGGTCTCTGGGAGAAAACGGGGCAGT